ACGGCTGGACTCGCCTGGAAATCCTGGGCGGGACGCACCCCGGGAGAGGTCCAGGGAGTAGCGGTATTGGTACCTGTTCGGTTCCCCAACAATGCCTCGGCCCGCGGCGGCGGGGCCTGATAAGAGCCTCCGCGCGCACGGTTTGCGGCTTTTTTTTCCGAGGAAGGAGATGAGCGGCGAAATTCAAACTCCACCCTCGCCGATCAACGACTCAGGCAGTTCGACGTTCGGCGGGAGTGGGGCTCGGAATTCGTCGAACCTTTGGCGGAATCCGAGCCCTACCCGCACCTCCGATCGATTCAGGAGAATCGATGGTTGGCGAAGTAGGGCACAGGTGTCGCCACCTAGGAGAGGCGGCACCACCACCACCACCACCACCACCACCACCACCACCACCACCACCACCACCACCGCCAGGGGAGGCCACCCCAAGCGAGGAGGGCGACGCAGCCTCCCCGAGCGCCGTGGCCTCCCCCATGCGCGCTGGCAAGAACACGCGTCGGACTCCAGAGAGCAGCAGTCTCCACGAGGTCTTGAGAATTCGGGGGTCGATGCTCGAGGATCGGATTCCTGCACGGTGGGGGCGTTGGTTCAGGAACGTGCACGGGAGGCTTCGGACCCTGGAGGGTTCCTTATTTGATGAGGGCGGCGGCAATACCCACTGCCAACCCGCGATTGGAGTTCCACTGGCTTCCAGACCCTGCATTCCTTGTCCAATGCTTCCTTAGCCAATGCCCCCACCGTATTTTTGCCGTTTTCAGCCTCCGCAGGCCTCCAGAAGCCTCCCCAGGGGCCCCATACAGTGGGCACGCAGAACCAGGAAGCGGCCCGCTCACGGGTGCCCCCCGACAATTCTTGATGTCCCCACTGGGCCACATAGTCTCAGGGCACGTTGCGAAGCTCAGGGTCGACTAGAAAATCATTATCGCGTGCCTACTGCAGGAATATCTACATCCTCTTGTAAAAGTAATGAAACGTTTGCAGGTCGTCCAGGGGACTCCCCCGAGGGTCGTTCTTCATACCAGGTCAGTTTTTGACGGCCACAGTGCATTAACACGCCCCTGGGATGCTGAAACTTATGAAACAACAAAGATGCCGAGACCAGCATATCGAGGAATAAAGTGTCATTATGTTTGCCAGGGCAGTGTAGGATCTCAGTTGGTCTGCAGAGCAGATGCGGCCCGATGATCGCACCGCACTGCCGATGCAGCGGCGATGCGCGATCTGCGGCCCACTCTTCTACGCTCCGACGTTGCCGATGCACCGACGATGCGGGCCAATCGAGAGTCGGATCTTTCTACATTCGATAGAGTGCACATATGGATTAAGGCGCGCGGATCCGCGACATGTTCCGCTTCCGTAGGGAATCGACGCGTTCCATCGCCAATTCAGGCGGCGTTGGTCCCATGTCTCAGGCGGCATTGAACCCATGTCGCCAAATCAGGCGGCATCGCGCCCACGCGCCAGAGCCATGGATCTGTAATCCGTGTTGCGCGCGCCCGATACATGCCAACGTCGCCGATGCATCGTTGATGCGGTGCGATCCGCGGGCCTCGTGTGCCCTCGTCTCGTGTCGGAGGCCTCCATGGAAGAGGCGAGGGGGTGGATTTGCGATGGGGTGTCCAGTGAGCGGGACAGGACGCTCTTCCTCATCCTTCTGCCCCTCTCCCTACTCTTCTTCCTCCTCCTTCCCCTCCTTTCTCCTCCATCCCACCCGGCCACTGTTCAGAGCGAAGCGGGGGAATTCGCAGAGCAGGATCGGAGAGATGCCTGCGGGGCCCCGTTTGCCGCGTCTGCCCGTCTTCTTCGCGGCCCCTCTGCTCGGCACCGCTTTGGTGCCCCCGTTTGCCGCGTCTGCCCGTCTTCTCCGCGATCCCTCTCCTCTTCGGGGGGGCTCCAGCATTTCCCGCTCGAGAGCACAACAGCGCCTGGTAGTGTGTCCCGTTGCCCACTTGTCTCGACGAAAACTAGAAAATAACCGAAAAACAGTCCCAAAATAGTCTGAGGACTATTTTTGGAGTATTGTTTGACCTGCTTGGGGTACTGTTTGAATCTGTTTTATTTTTCGTCGAAAATCCTCCTGTAGGGGGACACGCCCGACTTGACACTTGTCGCATCCGCCGCCGTGCCGCATCAGAGGAGGCGGGGCCCCGAGCCCGAATTGGTGCAGGCGCGGATCCACCGCCGCAGAGCTCGCCTCTCGCCAGGGGCAACGTTAGGGGGAGACTGGTCCGGGGGGGAGGCCTCCACCCCAGAGTGCCCGTTCGTCGCCGATGGGGGCCCGACAGCCCCACCCCGCCCGGGACCGTGCGGTTTCGTTTTCGGGTGGACCAGCCGATCGCCGATCTATCGATGCCGTGTCGTTGGCATCCAGAGCGATGCTTCCCCCCCGAGCCAGTCCTCCGCTATAGTTGCCGCTCATCCCGGCCCGTGGCCCATGGGCTTGGCGGCACGCTGCTGAGGAGAGGCGGCCTCGGCCTCTGGCGTGCACGCGCGTGCGCGTGTGCACTGCCTGTGCTCTGCTTGTGTGCGTGCGCGTCTGAAATTTCAGCTTTGTCCACGCTCCCAGTGGTCAATACGTTGAACGTACAGTCGGGGCCCTGAGGAAGGAACCCTTTTCGTTGGGGAGGGGCTCCGCGTTCCTTGAGTGTTTCGCAGCTTGCCTCAGGCTTTCCTGATGTTTTCGATCGGAAATCGAAGTTTCACTTATGGAAAAAAAAGGGCCTCGTTCCTTATTTAGGGTTCCTTAGGTCAAGGCCCCGACTGTAGACCGTCTCTATATTTCGAGAGTCGTTTGTTGTCTTCGCGCTGATGGAGGCACATGCGTTCGTGGGTCTGGGTGTGTGTGTGTGCGCGTGCGCGTGCGTGTGTCGCCAGTCAGACGTGGCAGTTGGATCAAGGCAACGCGCTGCAACACAATCAGTGGGTGGACCAGTGTAAGTCAGGGCACGGTCTGCTCTGTCACGGTTGGTAGCCTACAGCATTCCGCCCTCATCAAGGATGGCGACCCCCCCCCATCCAGCGCAGTGCGTTTGTTTGTGACCATATTTGAAAACAGACGTCCCCTCGAAAGTCTTCGGCGAGTATGATAGAGGACACTCTGTACCATACAATCCCAAGTGAGGAGGAGCAATGACCAACGCACATTCTATTCGGTGTCCCAACATCAGAGGGTGCCTCGATGGAACCCCAGTCACTATAGCCATTTCATCTTACGGGACTGCATCGCGCAGAGGCTGGGTAAGAGGGTAATGGATAATCATGGCATGCACATCGTCAGCAGGGAAGCCACATGCACATGCTGCTCCCGTCTTGAATCCTGCTCCATAACGTTTCACCTTGCCCGACTGTTGCGGCAAGACGAAGAACGTCAACGCAGACTTCTCTCGAGCATCCAGTGGGGACTTGGTGTTGCATAAGTTCCTGGCCAAGGCAGTTGAGGAGGAGGAGGAGGAGGAGGAAGAGGCGTTGGAGCAGGATGAGGACAGCCGAGAACTCCCTGACCTGCCCCCCAAAGCTGATCTAGAGCCCTCGAGAACTCCTTGACCTCCCCCCCACAGCTGGAGCCCCCCCAATTCTCCGACATACACTCCCTGGGTGCTTCCTCCGCCTTGGTCCTCATCTTTCTCATCACCATCATCATCATCATCATCATCAGCAGCAGCAGCAGCAGCAGCAGCAACAGCAGCGTCATCATCATAGACAGCATCATAATCGCCCTTATCCTCATTATCACCATTTCACCATCCTCATCACCATCATCACCAGCATCGTCATAAGTATCAACATCATGATCGTCAGCATCAGCATCCGCAACATCGTCATCATCCTCAGCAGCAGCAGCATCATCATCATCATCCCATCTTCATCGTCATCGTCATCATCACCATCACATGTTCCATCATCACCATCATCACCATCACCATCATCTTCATCACCATAACCATCATCATCAGCATCAGCATCAGCATTGTCATCATCATCACCATCATCATCAGCAGCATCATCGTCATTCTTCCTCCTCGGAGGGAAGAGTGCAGTTGGCGAAGCGGTTGAGGGAGGGAGTGTGGAGAGGGGGAGGAGTGTGAATGGGGAGAAGATGGGGGGAACAAGGATGGTTATAGCTTGTGCATGACTGGGGGTGGAGGTCACAGGCGGGCGCTGGAGAGAGGGTTCCACCCACCACAGATAGTCAGATCAAGTTCCTCGCCTGTTCTGGTCCCATCCTCAATTCAGATTGTCCCCAGGCGGGCACAAGAAGCTGCGTGCGGTATTGCTTGCTAAATGTGGCACACGTGTTGGGCATAAGAGACACGATTATGGGCGCTCCCCCTGGAGTTGGCAACGCTGATGGCATCCAACGTTTTACTCTGCCATCATTGTGACATCTGGCGAGAGGGCGGTAGCATTGCGCTAAAAGACAGCATGCGTTGCTCGGGGAACCTCTTCTGCTTGCTTGGCGAACCTCCGCGCTTGGCTCGTGTACGGCCAGGACCTGTGGCTTAGCTGCCGCGCCGCCAGTTCTGGCCCACCACGCTTCGGCGCCACACGCTAACCACGTGATAGTCCCCAAGCGTCAGCGTCCCGCGGAGCGGAACGACACGCCATCCTGTTGTAAGGCATAGCGTGTCGCCGGGGCCGCCGCCGCGAGACGGTAAGCAAAAGTTCCCGAGCATAGATGGCACACTGTTCGGCACGAGCGAAATGGGCACGGAATGAATGGGTACAATGCCCAGCAGCAGTTCTTGTTCATGTGAACAGGACTCGCTGTCGGTGTCGCCGCAGGCTGTATACATTTGAGACAGACGGCCGCCTGCCCAACAGTGGCCGCTGTTGGTTTGGGGCAACATTTGTATTTGGGCATTGTACCCATTTTTGTCCGTACCCAATTGGGTCGTCCAAAACTATGTTTCCAAGGATGGGAGAGTGCCACATGGTATCTGCAAGAACGGGACACGCCGCAGGTGCCCCGGAAAGGGGCAGACACAGCTACCGAACCCATGGCGAGCCGCCCTTTTTTGGTTGTTGTGCTTGCTGCGGGCCTGCGCGGGTGGCGCCCAGGTAATGGCACAGTCGGAGTGGAAAAAGTGGCGGCAGCGGGTGTCGTGGAGTCCGGACACGGGGAGTGGAAGGACAGAACACAGCGGGAGTCGTACAACCACGATGGAGGCGAAGTTAGGGGAGTGCTGAGTCCATGCTTGCACATCTCGCTCCGAGTGAGCTCACCGAATCGGCTCAGTCAGGGCATTGTGTGTCCATCCGTCTGGTTTGGCGTCGGCATGAAGCAGGCATGCAGCTCAAGCTAATGCATGTTCTACTTTGTGTGGGTCAGGTTGAGTCTAGATTCGGCTGTGGGGCGGAAGTGTGCGATGCGAGTGCTAGCTGGGCATGCTTCAATCCTTCTTCCTCCAGGCGTGCCTGTCTAGTTCCAGCGCTCTCATTGTGAAGTGTGTGTGTGTGTGTTGCCCGAACAGCCTGCGGCTGTGGTGCTGGGCCCGCGTTTTGAAGAGAGAGCGCCCTGCGTTGCTCCCCCCCTCCCTCACTCCTCCTCCCTCCTCCCATCCTTGCCTTTGCCTTCCGCACCAGTCACCTGTCGGCGCACCCCTCACACGCTTCGTGGCCCCGTGGGGAGCTCCACCGAAGGCCCCAGTGGCAGGGTCCACATGCGTCCCCCGCCCCATTCCGGCACACCTCTCACACGCTTCGTGGCCCCAAAGTGAGCTCCATCGAAGGCCCCAGCGGGAAGGTCCACATGCGACCCCCAAATCCACTTCCGCACACCCCTCACACGCTTCGTGGCGCCATAGGGAGCTCAACCAAAGGCCCCATTGGCAGGGTCCACATGCGTCCCCCCGCCCCATTCCGGCACACCTCTCACACGTTTCGCGGCCTCATAGGAAGCTCCACCGAGGGCCCCACTAGGAGGGTCCACATGCGTTCCCCGGCACTACCTCGGCACACCCCTTATTTGGTTCGTGGCCCAGTAGGGAGCTCCATCGAGGGCCCCAGTGGGAGGGTCCACATGTGCCGCCCCGCCCCAATTCCGCACACCCCTCACACGTTTCGTGGCTCCAGACGGAAGCACACAAACACGACTCTCACAATTGCGTTACCCGCAATTGTATATGGTTGGGTCTTTCGCCAGGATAATTGATGAAGGCTCTTGTGGCAGGACCTGCTGGTTGCTTTAAGCCTGCGTTTTACCCCCCGGACCCCCTGTATGTGCACGACAATGGCTTGGCAAAGTCTATTCAGCCCGCGCTGCTGCCCTTCCGAAGCCTGTACAGGTTCTCGTGAGAAAGCTGCTTACCTGATCGTCCCCACGGGTGCCCAGTGTCGCAGTCTTTACACATGTTGGTGTCGAGTTTCTGGCAAGGTGTATCATCGAAAGAGCCCGCTCTAGCTCGTAGTAGGGTTGGAGGACTCCGTGATTGCTTGAACACGTGCCATTGCTCTTTGTGTGACCGTGCCCTAGAGTCCAGGACGAGCCGGTTTGAACCATGTGATATTTTGATTTACACAAGGTGGCGATCTCATTTCCTTCGAGGCATCCAGGAGAGTGATGGGCTTGTTTTCCACTACCACCACCAAAAGTTGGAGGGGGGAAGGAGGTTGAGGATGAGGACCAGAAGGAGGAGGAGGAGGAGGAGGAGGAGGAGGAGGAGGACCCCCTCCCCCTCCAACTTATGATGGTGGTTGTGGAAAACCTGCCCATCAGAGAGGGGTGAGGACGAGGGGGATGGATGGATATCATGGCCGGGGTCATGATGTCTTCCAGGTCCCACGGTCTGCTCTTCCTCTCTCAACGCATCCCCTGGCCCCCCCTCGTCCGCGCACGTGCTACGGCCCTTTATGCGCTCCCCCTTTTCCTGGCCCCCCTGTTCGGCGCACCTGGCTCTGGGAGAGCATCGCACTACAGCGGAAACCCGTGGTTAAACGGCTGATGTTTTCTCGCCTGCCGTGCTCGACTTACCCACGAGGCTTACGCAGTGTCGCCCGCCCCCAGAAGAGGAAACGCGCGGCTTCCGGTGTCGTCTGCGTTGTGTGCCGCGTCCCGTCGTGCTGCCTGCGTGCAGTTGTGTTTGGTTTGTCATCCTCCTCTAGCAAGCAATCCACTTCCTCCTCCTCCTCCTCCTCCTCCCTCCTCCTTCCTCCTCCTCCTCCTCCTTGTCAGTTGTGGGGCTTCATGGGAGCCACTTGAGGGCCAGTGCGGGCGGCCTCTCGGGAGCCTTTTCAGGGTTTCTGGGTGCTTCGGGGTGGCCCTCCGAGGGCTTTCTTGAGGCCCTCTTGGGGGGCATCCTGTGGACGTGTCTGACAACTTGAGGGCCATCGTGTGGGGCACGGCTCCCAGAGCCCCTTCCTTCGCGTCAAGTCATGTTTGTACCGCTTCGTGGCTTTCCAGGATTCACTGGGCTCTTGATTTTTCCGTCGGATTCATGTTCTGATTCTCGATAGGTTCCCCCTAATTCGCATCGGGTTGGGTTGGTCCTCCTGTTTGGCGGTTTGTGTTCGAATAACGTGGTTGTTAGAATCGTGTTGATCGATTTTTATCTAGCGGTCGTGGACCGTGTTTGGTTTGTATTGGGTTCGTGTTGTTTCTATGTTGGTACAGGTTGATCTTCGTTTAATGCAATCTGGAAGTGTCAGTGCTTGCTGCACGATCCTGATAGGCTCAGTTTTACTCGTGCGAATGGTGGGATCGAATCCATATGACTGCTTTGGGGTTCATGCGAGTCCGACAACCCACATGATTATATTTGACTCCTCTGGTGGCCCTTAACTTTCCAAGGGGTCAATGTTACTTGTATGCTGGCTTATGTGTCAGTGTGTGTATGCGTATGCTGTGACAGTGTATTACACTGGATTCCTGGAGATTTCTGCGGATCCCTGCTCTGAGTTCTCAGCAGTCCTGATTTTCCGCTGGGTTACACCGACGCCTACGTTACGACTCATTCGGTGTGTTCGTGGCTGCGTTGGATGCTTGAAGATTTTGTCTTGCATCCCCGGGCAACTGTCGGTCCAACTCATTGGGCTCTCAGAGCGTTAGACGTACAAGGTTGCATGTTTAATATCAAGTGGCTCGCGCACAGCAGCTCGTTACACCAGCCCCACCACGGCCAGCGAGTGTCCATGAACGAGCAGAGCTTGAGTCCAAATGTATGTGAAAGGTTCCATGACATCTAATATCATCAAGAAGACGTTGGCAGGATTGATTGGCGCGTCTGGCAAGCGAAGAGCACAAGAACCATATCCCCCTCCCCTTCCTTCCAGATGCTGCGACTCCCACAGCTTATGGGTATGGACCAGAGGACGCGAGCTCCACTGGCATGGTCCCCCGAGCCCATTGATATGGGTAAGGTTGTATGATGCGCATATCTTGTTACTTGCCACCAGGCCAAGATTGTATTCTTGAGAGCCAGACGAACAGCTTGATTTCAAAGGTGTACCAGGTGTGACCAATTCAGTCACTCCGCCGTTCACCATTCCCGAGCCTCGCCCCAAGATTTCCACCCAGAGCTCTCGCGTCAGCGCCGGCGTGACTGAGGGCGCGCAGGCGTCTTTCTCAAGATGGAGATTGGAGTCAGCCCAGAGGACGCAGGAACACGTGTGACGTCTCTTGCACGCACCATTCAGGGCTGGCATGTCTCGAGCTGCACCTCAGACTGACCAGCATCACTGGGGCACCCTCTCGCTCGTCCCAACTGCACTCTGTCTCCCGCGTCGCAGCTGCCGCTGGAGAACGTGGCCACGCCCCTGCAGTCGGCGGACAACGCTGGCAGCCCCGCCCCTGCGCCCCAGCGGGCAGCGCCTGCTGTTCAGAGCATGAGGTCGGCGATACGCGAGGGTGCCTTTTCGCTGGAGTGACCTTTGAGGTGAGGGGGAGGATCGTCGCCACAGTTGGTGATGAGCCCACGAGCTCTCTGCGTCCTGTCACAGGTCGGGTACGGCCAGGACCCCAGGTAAGGGGACCCGGTTAGTGGTAGGGCCCCGGAGCCCTTGAATTGGCCAGAATCACTAAACCAGGTCTGCCGTAGCTTTTGTTTTTCGGGTGACGGCAGTTCCGGTTAGTGGAACGGGGCGGAGGGGGGGGTCCCCCAGTACACATCACTAAACCAGGTCCCACTACAGCCAGCCCGGATTAGCAGGTCGACCCTGCCAAATCGAGGGTATTCTTGCGTCCCGTGTCTCGCGACCCACGCCTCTTACATTCCGGTGGAAATGCGGCCCTCGGAAGGGTCTTGTGTCCTCTCGCGTGTCCTGTCCAACCAAGTCCGACTGTAAGCCTAAAACAGGGCTAGGATCGGGATAAATCGCTCCAGAGCGTTCCGGAGCGCTCTCAGAGCGTTCCGGAACGCTCTGGAGCGGCCGCGGCGCCCAATACATCCTCCAAACCCGCCGATTCTCAGAGATTTCGAGTTATCCCGATCCGATTTTGTCCCGATCTTCGCGTCGTTTTAAAGCCCAGTTCTGGCAACGCCCGAACAGGGCCGCGCCCCTCGTGCAGGCGCGGGAGGCGCTGGTGAGTCGAGCCCGGCCTCGGCAGGTCTCGCAGGCCCCACGGGGGCAGTCCAGGGGCAGCCTGGGGCCGAGGAGGGAGGAGGAGGGAGGGAGGAGGGAGGAGGGAGGAGGGGAGGAGGGGGAGGAGGGAGGAGGAGGAGGGGAGGGAGGAGGAGGAGGAGGAGGAGGAGGGAGGAGGGAGGGGAGGAGGAGGAGGAGGAGGAGGAGGAGGAGGAGGAGGAGGAGGAGAGGAGGAGGAGGAGGAGGGAGGAGGAGGGAGGAGGGGAGGAGGGAGGAGGGAGGAGGAGGGAGGAGGAGGAGGAGGAGGAGGAGGAGGAGGAGGAGGAGGAGGAGGAGGAGGAGGAGGAGGAGGAGGAGGAGGAGGAGGAGGAGGGGCGTGTGCAGTGGGACACCTTGCCCACGATTACGACGGATGTTCTCGCCTCACCAGTGGCCACATCCACCATATCGACTTTGCGTTAGCCTTAACCCCCGCCGCATCCACGATTGCGAATTTTGTTTTCGCCTCAGCGCAGACCACATTCATGATTGCAACCATTGCTTTCGTATCAGCGCTGGCCAAGTCAATGATTGCAAACGTTGCTCTCGCCACAGTGCCGGCCACATCCGTCATTGCGAACGTCACTCTTGCTTCAGCGCCAGACACATACACGAATGCGCCGGCTGCTGTCGCCTCAGCGCCAGCCACATCCGTGATTGCGAACGTGGTTCTGGCCTCAACGCCAGCCTCATCTACCATTGCGAGAGTTGCTCTCGCCTCGGCGGGGGCAGTTTCCACGATTGCGACAATTACTCTCGCCTCAGCGCCGGCCACACCCACAATTGCGAAAAATTCTCTCGCCCCAGCGCCGGCCACATCCATGATTGCGAAGGTTGCTCTCGCTTCAGCACCAGCCACATCCACTTTTGCGAAACTTGCTCTCGCCTCAGCGCTGGCCACATCCACGATTGCGAAGCTGGTCTCGCCTCAACGCTGGCCACATCCATGGTTTGGAATCTTGCTCTCGCCTCAGCGCCGTCCGCCTGAAATCGGTTATCTTGTGGTGAGGTTGCCTACCTTCCCACCGGCGCCCGAGACGGCCCGCCATCAAGCGAGGGCTAGCCCCTGGACATCGGCAGGAGGAAGGGGCAGGGGGAGGAAGAGGGGGTAGTCTGCGGAGGCCGCCAGCGCCAGGAGGAGCAGAGGGGCAAGTGCAAGGAGGCTGGGCGGGCTCGGCGAGATCTTCCAGAAGACGCCCCAACGACTTCCGAATCGAATACGTCGACGTCGTCGTGGCTGTCGTCTGCGTCGTCGTCGTCTTGCAGATCGTCGCCGACAACGTCGTGGCCGACGTCGTCGTCGTTGTCGGCGGCGTCGGCGTCGGAGTCGGCGTCGGCGTCGTGGACGACGACGTTCGTGCGGTCGTCGACGTCGTCGTCAGGGTCGGTGGCGTCGTCGTCCTTGTTGACGACCTCGTCAGCGTGGTCGTGACGTCGTCGTTGTCAGCGCCATCGTCGTCGTCGTCGTCTTGGACGCCGTCGTCGGCGTTGCCGTCCCGCTGCCGAAGCTTCGGTCGCCCTGGCCACCTGCCTGCGCGCGCGGGCGCGCCGCGCGCAGCCGCCTCGACTGCGCCCCGGCGATCCCGGGCCTGCCAGTTCG